TTTTTCGCATACTATCGAGATAATATCGTACGGAGAAAGAGTCACATTGTATATATATATATATATATATATATATATATATATACATATATATACGTGAATGTTCAAGTGTATTTAATGTAAGTGTTATGTTAAAGAGTATATGTATATAATATTATGTATGTAGTATGCATGTATCATCGTGTATAGAGTAATAAGTTACATAACTATATATACACACACATATACAACGTATTATATCTAAATTATCGATATATATGTATATGTATATAAGTATATGCATAGAGCCACGCTAATTTTATTTTATTTTATTTTATTTTATTTTCTTCTTCTTCTTCTTCTTTATTATTTGTTTTTTTTTTCTTTTTTTTTTTTTTTTTTACTTTAATAAGTTATAGTCCCTCTTTTGTAGTTTTATAAAAGTACGAAAAAAAACTATATATCGATTTCACATACGATCGCGGCGTTTAACGATCACGCAAAACTACACCCTACAATACATACATACATATATATATATATATATATATATATGTATATATATATATATATGTATATATTATTTATATCGCGGAGACAAATACGTCTTTGGATCTCACCGAAAGGAAGCAAGTTACGGAGTCTAATAAAATACATCGTTTTATTATGTTCTTTCTTTTTTCTTTGTTTTTTTCCTTTTTTCCTCTTTTTTTTCTTCTTCTTTTTATTTTTTAAATCTCATTATCCCAATTTTTTTCTTTTTTTATATATATATATATATAATATTTTTTATTTTCGTTTTATTTTTATATGACCCTCTTTTCGCTTTTCTCGCACTTTTCTCGTTTCGAGAATTCGACGAACCAAAAAGCCAAGCCGCAGCACCTGTCTCTCATCATCACCTTCCTCCTCCTCCTCTTCCTCCTCCTCCTCCTCCTCTTCCCACCCACCTCGTTTTGGACGTTCGTCGATCTAATCAATTAGATTTCAAGAAGATTTCATTTTTTTTTCTTTTATCATTCCCCATTTCTATCTCTCGTTTCTCTTCATTGCCGAGGACGGCAGATTTTTTTTCTAATATTCATTTTTCTCAAATCTCCTTTTTTTTTCTTCTTCTTCTTCTTCTTCTTCTGGAATGGTATTTCTATTTTTTATTTTTTTTCCTTTTTTAAATTAATTTTTCTTTTTATTAGGCCTCTCCTACGTGTTCGGAGATTTCAAATATTTTGCACCTGCGCCACATTTCTTCCTTTCTTTCATTCTTTTTCTATTTCATTTTCATTCTCCTCTTCTGTCCATGAAATCGGATGATTATGGTTGCACCATAAGCACGATCTATCTCATGGTTTCCTCTTTTACGAGTACGTCGAATATTTGTCTTCTTTTTTTTTTTTCCTTTCATTCATTCTTTTCTTGTTTATTTATTTATTTATTTATTTATTTTTATTCATATTTTTATTTTTCTTCATATATATATATATATATATATGTATGTATGTATGTATATATATATATATATAAAGAGCTCCAAAGCGCGTATTTAATATCATACAATTAACGAA